TCTGTTGCCCCTGGGAACAAACCTTTCCTCTGCCTCCTTGCATTTTGTTGTTACATATTCCATCATTACATTTACTGTCTTTCCTACCATTTCTCTGTCCCACTGCACCTCCCGCAGGAAGTTCCTCATACCTGTGTAGTCCTCCCTTTTATAGTGTGGCTTTTTCCATTCGACTCCTGTTACCCTCTCCACCTGTAACTCTACTATGTAATCAACTCAGGACTACGTGGTCACTAGCTCCTAGGGGCCTCTCATATGTAATGTCATCAATGTCTGAGCGACTCAGGGTGAACACAAGGTCCAGTCTTGCTGGTTCATCCTCCCCTCGCTCTCTGGTAGTGTCCCTGATGTGTTGATGCATGAGGTTTTCCAGTACCACATCCATCATCTTGGCTCTCCATGTTTCGGGGCCCCCATGAGGCTCCAGGTTTTCCCAATCGATCTTCCTGTGGTTGAAATCACCCATAACCAGTAACTTTGCTCTGCACGTTTGAGCTCTTCGTGCCACCTCGGCCAGTGTGTCCACCATCGCTCTGTTGTTCTCATCATATTCCTCTCTTGGCCTCCTTCAGTTCTGTGGTGGGTTATACATCACAGCAATGACTACCTTATGTTCCCCAGATTGAATTGTGCCTGCTATGTAGTCCCTTTCTCCAATCTCGTCCATGCCCTCCATTTCCTCGAAACTCCATCGGTTTTTTATGAGCAGTGCAACCCCGCCTCCCCCTCTGTTCCTTCTATCTTTCCTCAGGATCTGATATCTCGGTGGGAAGACTGCATCTGTTATAGTCAGTGAGTTTCATTTCTGTGACTACTATGATGTCCAGGGACTTCTCGTTGATTCTTTCGTGCCATTCCTCATATTTATTTGCTATTCCATCTCTGTTTGTGTACCACACCTTCAGCTTCTTGACTATCACGGAGGACCTGGGAGAATATTGGGGTTGGGGGTGGGAGCCCTGGGGGGGTTATGGGGGTTTGTGGTGTGGGTGGGATTTTTGTGGGGTTGGGGGGCAGAGTGCCATAAGGAGCTTCTGTGGCAGTGGGGTTTGTAATGTGGGAGGTGGGGGCAGAGGGAACAGTGTGTGGGTGTTGGTTGAGACTGTTCAGTTGCATTGGGGTTCTCACAGTGTGGGTGGGGTTTGTTGTGGGGGTGGGGGCAGAGTGCCGAAAAGGGGCTGCTGTAGAGGTGGGGTTTGTGGTGGGGTGTGAGGGCAGAGGGAACAGTGTGCGAGTTTTGGTTGAGGTTGTTCAGTTGCTTCGGGGTTGTTGTGGTTGGAGTCCATCTGCGGGTGTCTCTGTAGGGTGTATTTGTTCTTCCACCTGAGTCTGGGTTCTGCTCGTCCTCATCGATGCCTCCCGTTCCTCCTTTCATTTTTGTACCCTCTCTTTCAGTCTCGTCCTTTCCTCATGTGTTCTGTGCGATCGAGGTACACACTCTGGTACTCTGAATTGTCCCGCAGTCGTACTTTCTCCTGCAGGACCGTGGTTCGAGCTGATTCTGCCTTGAAGACTACTTTGACAGGCCGTCTCCTTCTGCGTGCAAACCACCCAGTTCTCGGAAAATTTGCCACCTGGGTCATGTCTCCCTCTCCTATTGCTTTCAAGATACCTTCGATCGCTTTCTTCTCCCCTTGGATTCTTTCATTATAGGTTTCCCCTTCAACTTCTTGGAGCCCGTAGACAAACATTGACCTCTCCCTCTCCTCCTCCCACTGTGTCTCTCTTTGCGTGCTCTGAGATGTTTTATCTCCTTCCATCGAGACGTTCCTGTGTGTGTGTGTGTGAATCACACACACACACACACACACACACACACACACACACACACACCACACACACACACACACACACACAAGAGTGAAATAGTGGGTTTAGAACCTCTTAAATGCAATTTCCTAAATTATTTAGAGAATGCGATATGAAGATCCCCCCCTCGAATTCTTCCCCCCCCTCAAATTCCCTTCCCTCATTCCACATTTCTAACTCCTCTTCCCTCATCCCCCTCACACACTCGATTTTTTCTGTCCCTCCCTCCCTCACCCTCTTTCCATTCCACTCCTTTCTTCCTTCTTCTTGGTAGTCATCCTTCCTCTTCTCATGTTTTCCTCTTTCTTTCCTCCTCTCTCTCCCTACTTACCTCTCTTCCCATTTCTCCTCACACTTACATTTCTTTCCCTCTCTTCCCTCACTTACATCTCTTCCCTTCTCTCTCCACATTTACATATCTACCCCTGTCTCCCCACACTTACCTCTCTTCCCCTCTCTCCCCACACTTACCACGCTTCCCCTCTCTCCCCACACTTACCCCACTCTCTTCCCCTCTTACCACCTCCCTCTTCCCCACACTTACCATCTCTTTCCTCCCCTCTCTCCCCACACTTACCACCTTCCCCTCTCTCCCCACACTTACCACGCTTCCCCTCTCTCCGCCACACTTACCACTCTTCCCCTCTCTCCCACACTTACCACGCTTCCCCTCTCTCCCCACACTTACCACTCTTCCCTCTCTCCCCACACTTACCACGCTTCCCCTCTCTCCCCACACTTACAACGCTTCCCCTCTCTCCCCAACACTTACCACTCTTCCCCTCTCTCCCCACACTTACCACGTTCCCCTCTCTCCCCACACTTACCACTCTTCCCCTCTCTCCCCACACTTACCACGCTTCCCCTCTCTCCCCACACTTACCACCTTCCTTCCCCCCACTCTTCCCCTCTCTCCCCACACTTACCACTCTTCCCCTCTCTCCCCACACTTACACTCTTCCCTCTCTCCCCACACTTACCACTCTTCCCCTCTCTCCCCACACTTACCACGCTTCCCCTCTCTCCCCACACTTACCACTCTTCCCCTCTCTCCCCACACTTACCACGCTTCCCCTCTCTCCCCACACTTACCACTCTTCCCCTCTCTCCCCACACTTACCACTCTTCCCCTCTCTCCACACTTACCACGCTTCCCCCTCTCTCCCCCACTTACCTCTTCCCCTCTCTCCCACACTTACCCCTTCCTCTCTCCCCACACTTACCACTCTTCCCTCTTCCCCACACTTACCCGCTTCCCCTCTCTCCCCACACTTACCACTCTTCCCCTCTCTCCCACAACTTACCTCGCTTCCCTCTCTCCCCACACTTACCACTCTTCCCCTCTCTCCCCACACTTACCACTCTTCCCCTCTCTCCCCACACTTACCACGCTTCCCCTCTCTCCCCACACTTACCACGCTTCCCCTCTCTCCCCACACTTACCACTCTTCCCCTCTCTCCCCACACTTACCACGCTTCCCCTCTCTCCCACACTTACCACGCTTCCCCTCTCTCTCCCACACTTACCCTCTTCCCCTCCTCTCCCCACACTTACCTCGCTTCCCCTCTTCCCACACTTACCACTCTTCCCCTCTCTCCCCACACTTACACCTTCTTCCCCTCTCTTTCCACACACTTACCACTTCCCCTCTCTCCCCACACTTACCTGCTTCCCCTCTTCCCACATTACACTCTTCCCCCTCTCCCACACTTAATTTCCCTCGCTCCCACTACCGCTTTCCACCACACTTACCACTCTTCCCCTCTCTCCCCACACTTACCTCGCTTCCCCTCTTCCCACACTTACCTCTCTTCCCCTCTCTCTCCCACACTTACCACTCTTCCCCTCTCTCCCCACACTTACACTCTTCCCCTCTTTCCCACACACTTACCACTCTTCCCCTCTCTCCCCACACTTACCGTTCCTTCCTCCTCCCCTCCTCCCCACACTTACCATCGCTTCCCTCTCTCCCCACTTACCACTCTTCCCCTCTCTCCCCACACTTACCATCTTCCTCTTCCACACACTTACCCTCTTCCACTCTATCTCTCCACTTAACCTCTTCTCTTCTCCCAAAACTTACCCTTTTCACCAATACTAATTAAGGTCTTCCCTCTTCCCACTTACAATGTTAATTGCCACATTAACTCTTCCACGTTCTCATCCAAACATTAATTTTTTTAACAATACCTGTTCCTTTTCAACATTCATTTAATCTATTCACATATTATACATGACATCTACCACTTTTCATCAATATATAAACATGTCATTTTAAACTAACTTACCTGTTGATTACATTCTCTTTATATAATTACTAGAATTCCATTATTTAGATATATCATTAAATAAGTATTCATAAATAATTATAAATATCTGTGTTTTTATGAATATTGAATTATCATTTATATAATGTAATGACAGGTGCACATTTTATATATTAATATAGGATATTTAATATTTCATTTGATATAATAAATCTCTTATAATATATTGATATCAATATAGGAGTGGATAAATAGTATTATATATTTAATATATCAAATGTGTATATCTGAGATGTTTGAAATGTATGATGTGAGTGATATTTATAGTGAAGTATTCATATATATTATTTTCATATTTATCTGGATCTGTTGGAATGGGCAGTACATTTTGAAATAAGTAGGAAGGTTTTTGATATATGACTTAGTTTGGAATGAGTAATATGTGTGTACTTTAAAAGGTATATCATTTAGATATGTTGTATTTTTATATTCTGCATAGAAACTGTGATTTGTGAGATGTGAAAGTGAAAGTGTTGAATGATGGTGAAAGTGTATTTTTTTTTTTGGGGATTTTCTTTCTTTTTTTTGGGTCACCTGCCTCGTGGGAGACGGCCGACTTGTTGAAAAAAAATGTATATATATATATATATATATATATATATATATATATATAATATATATATATATATATATATATATATTTATATATATATATATATATATATATAAATATATATATATATATCGTGCCGAATAGGTAAAACTTGCGATTTTGGCTTAAATAGTAGAATAAGACAAGCGAAAATTTGTGTATGCAATAATTTCGCAAAAATCTCTGAACCTAACGAGAAAAATATATTTCACTGTGTTTGTTCACAGTTAAATTATGGTAAAGTTATCTAAAATATATTTAATTGGATTAGGCTAAATTAAATTCGCTTGTTATAATAAGGTTAGGTAAGTTTTCTAAGGTTCTTTTGGTACAAAATTATTAAATTTTACATTAAAATAATGGAAAAAATATGTTTTTAAACGTATAAGAGAAAATGTTTCTGAAATATGTGTAGCTCCAATTCCTTGGATTAAGAACCCCTCTCACTGACTTCAAGGCACCTTTTTCTCCTTAGAAGAGGGTAAGAGAGAAAGAAAGAGAGAGAGAGAGAGAGAGAGAGAGAGAGAGAGAGAGAGAGAGAGAGAGAGAGAGAGAGAGAGAGAGAGAGAGAGAGAGAGCGTAGTGTGGGCTTTTAAGTCGCAGGTTACTCCCACATGTTAAGTGGTGTGTTCTCCCGAGGGGATTATAAACTGGGCGGTGAGAGGAGGGAAGGGGAAGAGGGGAGAGGAGGGGATGGAAGAGGAATGGCCGGGAAGGGGGGGTAGAGAGGAATGGGAGTGGAGTTAAAAGCAAGAGGAAGGGTACCTGCGGAGGGAGGAAGTAAGAGGGAAAGAGGAACAGATGTAAAGAGAAGTAAAATACACTGCAGAAGAGTGAGTTAAGGAGAGTTGGGTGAGCCAGACGGAGAGTCAGCAGAGTCATACACTCGCAAGGTTACTATTCCGTGTTAAGCAAGTTTATTTAGGTACAGGTCCACATAGGTACAATTATTATACATATTAACATATACAAACATTATCTCTCAGTCCACAGCAGGATTCGAACCTGCAAATTCGGCATCAGAAGTACACAGTACTTTATCCACAACGTCAGATTCCGAAGCACTGTGTACTCTGATGCCGAGTTTGAAGGTTCTAACCCTGTTGTGGACTGAGAGATAATGACTGTAAATAATTTCGCCTGTTTGCGAATTGTTAAGCATAGTAACGTGTATAAATTACCCACCCTAACCTCCAAAAAAGGTGAGTCACTTTGACTGACTTTTTTTGGGTTACCCTGGATAATCTACATATATGGTGATAAGTATGATAATATATGCAACTGTATTTCTGTGTACCTATACCCGAATAATCTTATTCCCATTGGGATAGTTATTCTGCCAATGCGATCGATAGCTGAACTTGCGTCGTCCACAGGGCGACTTGCTTGTACCCTCACAGTTTACTGTCTACCCTAGACACTAGTGCTAGTGCTAGTGTGTAGGGTAGACCACGTAAATGGTCCAGTTCGGACGTTTCGGTCCGACTTGGTCCACTAACGCGAAGGGAAGGAACTCCATATATTTATAATTCAAGAATCGTTAAACTCATGAGCGTCGTTCATTGCAAAAAGTGGAGAAGGTTCGATCCTCCGTATACTGATTGCGGTCCTGGTCTCTGACCCGCTATAGTGTATGTAGACACACAGCACTCCAAGAAAGTGTATACATTCAAGGACTGAGAGTGTATTCATTCAAGGCTGAGTGTATGTTGGCTCTAGTGATTGGTGGAGTGTGCGTGTGTGTGTGTATATATGTGTGTGGTGTGTGTGTGTGTGTGTGTGTGGTGTGTGTGGTGTGTGTTGTGTATGTGTGTGTGTGTGTGTGTACATACACCACTCCAGGGGTGAGTGTATCATGCTCCAGTGATGGTTAAAACACTCCTGTATCTGCTTTGATCTCCCGTCAGGGCAACTGTGTGAATCTGAGACGAATGTCTCTCTAATGTATCAACAAATCTCTCTCTCTCTCTCTCTCTCTCTCTCTCTCTCTCTCTCAGCTCCTTATCGGACTCGCCTCACAAGTTGGATTGTAAACTCTATTTTATGAATTGTATGTCGTAAACTGGATTTTGTAAACATCACAAACCAAATAATAATATAATAAACCATATAATAATAATAATAATAATAATAATAATAATAATAATAATAATAATAATAATAATAATAATAATAATAATAATAGTAGATCACTTGTGGCACCCAGGATGTCACCTGTGGCACCCAGGATGTCACCAGTGGCACCCAGGATGTCTTCTGTAATTAAAATGTCTATTTGTACCGCTAGCGGCAGTGGGTTAAGAACCGCGGCCGGTGCGGAGAATGCGGTGATCCCTGGGACCTGCCCAGACCACGTCCCAACGAAGCCGGTGGGACTTGGGGGACCGGTACCATTTCCAAGGTCTACCGGGAGGGCCAGGTAAGTGGTGGACCGGTTGTATGGTGTACCAGGAGAAACAGGTGAGTGGTGGACCATTTGTATGGTGTACTAGGAGGCCAGGAGGGTGGTGGACCAGTTTTATGATGCACTAGGAGGATCAGGCGGGTGCTGGACCGGTTGTATGGTGCACCATTAACGCCAGGTGGGTGGTGGTCTGGATGTATGGAGTACCAGAAGGAGAGGTAAGTGCTGGACCGGATGGAACAACTGTAGGGTAGACCGGGAGGGACAAATAAGTGCACATGTAAACGGTATACCGGGTGATAGGCCTAAAAGTTACCGGTCTACTAGCCTATAATTCCTAGAAACCACATCTACGGAGATATAATCTACATAATTCTTAGCCTCGAAATACCAGACTTCTATAACTGTGGATCTTAGGGATGTATCCTCTATGTAGGCCTAAATTTAAAGCCCTAAGACCTATAGTCCTGATTTCTAAGGCTCTGTTGTCCATAGGCCCAATGTCTAAACTCAGTAATGACTAAGGCTTTAGGTTTCAAAGTCTTAATGTTTATCCTGATGTCTAAATTTATGTGGTACTCTAAGTCAAAGCTTCTGAAACCCCCGTCTATGATTTCTCAAAACCCGTCTGTCGTTTTTGAAAACCTTTCTATGGTTTCTTAAAAATAATGCCTACTCAAAACATTCCTTTTTTTTGTTATCCTTATTAAATAGTAATTTAGCGATGATGAAAGCTTTTACTAGGTCAACGTTTCGCTCTATGTAGAGCTTCAGCAAATCCTGACTTAACGCAGCTCTCTGTACACAGCGAAACACTGACGGGGTAAAACATCGGCAAGCTGACGATTGAGACACTTCCACAACATTACAGGTGTCCAGGTGTTAGACGTGCCTCATTCATCACAGAGCGAAACGTTGACCCAGTGAAAGCCTGTCTTTCAACCTCTGTCTTTCCTTAGTATTATCGGCAGAACGACACTTCAGCCCAAGCTTTTGGATGTCGTTAATCCTCCCACGAAAATCTCCTCAGTAGTTTCGATTCGTATGTGTCGCCACGACGACCTGTCGTCTCCAGGCCTCTTATTCTTCGTGATTTTGCATCGTTGTTCCCTGACACGACGACTTGTCGTCTCCTACAGGTGATGACAGCGACGGTGCACCTGACGGCCAATCACATGGGTTGGTTCGAGTTCCGCCTGTGTCCTAACAACGACCCGCAGAAGTACGTGAAGCAAAGCTGTCTTAACAAGAATGTTCTTCACCTCGTTGACCACCCCGGCACCAGGTACGTGAACCAGGGGGAGAGAGGAGGAAGATAAAAAGAAAAGGAGGAGCAGAGGAGAAGGAAGAGGAAGCAGGAGAGGAGGAGGAGAAAGAAAAGGGAGACGAAGAAAAAGAGGGACACGAGGAAGACGCAAAAGAGGAGGAGGAGGAATGAGAAAGAGTATGAAGGAGAGGAGCAGTAAGACGGGGAGAAGGAAGAGGAGGAAGGATTGGGGAGGGGAGAGAAAACTGAGTTCAGTAGGAGGGGGAGGAAGCGAGTGGGGGAGGATGTGGGAAGGATGGGGGGAGGATGGGGAGTGTTTCAGTTTGTGAGAGGTTGGGGAAATCAGGTGAAGGCGTAGGAGCTAGTACCTTGTGAGCTGGTGAACCAGTTTGTGAGGAGAGTGAAACAGTCGCACCAGATGAAGCGAGAGAGAGAGAGAGAGAGAGAGAGAGAGAGAGAGAGAGAGAGAGAGAGAGAGAGAGAGAGAGAGAGAGAGAGAGAGAGAGAGGGTAGAAGGAAGACAGGATAAACGAGGAGCAGCAGGAAGGGAAAAGAGGAGGTAAGAAGTGAGAGTAGATAGTGGAGCCAGTGGAAAGAAAAAAACACATGGATAAAAAAGTAGAAGGTAGACAGGAAACAAAGAGGAAGGATCATAAAGATAAAAGATAATGAGGTGGGACGTAAGAGTGAGTTGGAGAGACACAGATAAAAGTTAAACCAAAAGTACGACGAAGAAACTAACACATTTATAATAGTTTTGCTTAAAACAAATGTAACATTAAAAAAGACCAAAGTTTAAGGACAGGATAAGTGAGAAGAACCCAGGAATAGTTGAACTAACTAAAACCACAAGAAAAACACAAAACAAAACTAGAAACTACTCCCTGAGGAGATGGCAAAGAATTGCGAGAACCACTAAAAAGTGTATAAATTACGCACATACATATATACACACATAACAACGTTTAAAATACTGAGAGGAACTGACAAGATGGAAAGAACCAGAATGTTTCAGAGATGGGAGACAGGGACAAGGGAACACGACTTGAGGTCGAAAACTCAGATGAGTCATAGGGATGTTAGGAAGTATTTCTTCAGCCTTAGAGTTGTCAGGAAGTGGAACATGCTGGAGAGTAATGTAGTGGATGCAATAAGGCTCTTAGAGTAGGAAAAGTGTGGTCCCTAGTAGCGACTAGCGTAGAGGCGGGGCCAAGAGCTGTGAATCGACCCCTGCAACCACAAATAGGTAAGTACAAATATGAACACACACACGACCCCTGCAACCACAACTAGGTGAGTACAAGAAATAAGAACAGGTATGGTAGGGTAAACGAGAATAGTTATCCGTAAACCGAATGTTTGAGAGACAGGGACAGGAGCTGAGATTCAACCCCTAAAACCACAAATAGGCGAGTGCACAGATGCACCCTTACTTTTACATGGGGGAGCGCTAAGCCTGTAGGGGTCATCCACCTGGGAAATATTAGGTAAAAAGATTTGATCCAAGGAAAATAAAAGCAACTCCGATTCCTTGGATCAAGATCTCTCTCTCTCTCTCTTTTTCTCTCTCTCTCTCCTTAAAAGAATAAAATTTAATTTT